AGGAAGTTAAGCCAAAAAAAACTATTATAAGTAACAGCAGGAAAGAGGAGGGATTATTTTTCAAATATTTAAATATAGGTCACAGAGTCTGCAGCAATGCTCACTAAAATGTTAATTCAACTCAACTTGACAAATATTTACAAACAATAAGTGTTTGTTGAATTGAAATGTTAACATTTATCCTCCTGTGATATTTCTCTGCAAAAATTAGAAAGTATTCTTAGACCGTAAACTAAATTCCACCCTGAGATGAATGTTAACTTTATAATAAATACAATCGTAAAATATTTATATCTAACCTTATTTCAAAACACCTCCCATTGAATTATTTCAAAGCTTAGACAAAATAATGCAGAGATTCTACCCCATTTAAATAGTGCAAGAAAATCCACAAAAAGGGAACAGAGCTTCCTGGACTTCTAATTTAGTGAGCAGCTATAAATAATTTATGGTAGACCGTAGACCGTCTTGTTTTCTCACCACTGGGTTATCTCCCCCCTTCTAATAGAAGCACTTTAACCCTATCTCTGACAAAGGTACCTTCGTCATCTAGGCTCAGTACACATTCTATAAAAGGAATTGACACTCTCCCCAGTGCCGAGAGAGAGCAGGTGAGTCATTACTACTGAGAGCATCACATTGCCCTGGAAACCATGACTGATTCAGAGATGCATATTTACCTCACTCTCAAATAACTAAACTTTCCTCAGATTGTTGAGAGAGGAGTACTTGATCTTTTGATCTTGAACCCGGAAGAACAGAGATCTGACACTCTCTTTGCAGCCACCTTCCCCCACAGGAATAAACTCAACCTGAAGGAAAGCAGAACTGAAAGATGCAGAGAGACTGAAGACTGCTGATATTGTTTAAGCACCTAGACCAAGCCTTCCAAAAGTCATCACTACACTAGTCTTAACAGCCTTAAATTACCATTGTTTATAATACCTTGAGTTAATGTTTCCATCGTTTACTACCAAGAGTCCTCATATAACTTTCACAGGTTTTTCAAACTACTTCATACCCATAATCACCAGAATTACTGACTTCTAAACGTCTTCTGAAAATGCCAAAGCCGTCTCTTTACCTGTCTTTACATCCAAGCCCTTTGCCACGTAACTTCGCAATTCTTCCTGCTAAAAGCTGCCAGAGGGTACTTCCCACCTCTTCACATTGGGCTTAGCCATATGATTTTCTTTGACCAAGGGAGTATAATGCAATCAGGAATTTAAAGTGGGCTTTTACATAATTGGTTTGCCTTCTTGGCCTTCTGTCATGGCCATCTCAAGAATATGTGCTGGCTAGCATGCTGATCAAGGAATATGAAAGACATGTGGAGAGTAGACTCAAATACCCCAGCCACTATGGTATGCTATAAAGTCATGCTAGCCAACATTGAGACCTCTAGGAGGAAAACAATTGTTTTAAGACATTAGGTTTCAGACAGCTTGTTGCTCAGAATACCCATACCCACTATAGAAAGAAGAAATTGCTCTAAATCTCTAAGAAGGTCCTTCATGATTTTCCAAGTGAAATGTTAACAGGGAGTAAAGAAGGAAAGACTATCCAAACCAGAGTTCAAAGCCTAATGTCTATACTGGCCAAGCAGTTAAGTAAATAATAACTAAGACTTAAATAGCATGTAGGACATCGCAGGCATTGATCTAAGTGTTATACATGTATCCATTTCTTTAACCTTTACAGTAACTGAGATATGTGCTATTATCATTTTCCTGGGACAAAACTGAGGTGCAGAGTGATTAAGAAACTTGCCCCAGTCACATAGGACTTAGGTCTTGAATCCAGGTTGTCTGTACCTCTATGCTATTAGGCTAGATTTATTTGTTGTTGTTGTTGTTGTTGTTGTTTTTAACTGTAAGAAGTGATAAGGGACTGTGTTTCTCCAGAGTCGGGCGTCATCATGTTCAGCTAATTGTTACCATGTGGGATTGAGAACATTCTAAACTTTGAGAAAAACAAAAAATACAGGTTTTTGAGAAATCTATTTTTTTAAAAAAGCAGTTTAAATATTTAAATGTTTAGTGTTTAACACCATGGAAGTTAACCCTAAGCAGTATAAGCCCAACAAAATACATGTAAAACTAAATTTGGCTATGGCCTGTCCACCACTGATCTAAGTTTAGCAGTTCAGTCCTATTCAAGTAGCAATGTCTGGCACTTATCTCTCGAGCTTTTCTAATGTTCTCACAAGTGTGATAACAGCTTTATTAATGTTACTACAAGGCAAGTAAACATGGTGCTTCCATACTGCCTTTCCCTTTAAGACTTAAGCTGCCACCAAAACGCACAGATATGCTTTTCAAGTCCTTAATGTCACATCCAGACTTCTGTATCACCTCACATCCAGAGGTTTAGGCCTGCTGCTCTTTCCACCCAGGTCATTCTTCTCCCTTTCTGTTTTAGTCCGTTTTCACACTACTGATAGACATACCCGAGATTGGGAAGAAACGGTTTAATTGAACTTACAGTTCCACAAGGCTGGCGAGGCCTCAGAATCATGGTGGGAGACAAAAGGCACTTCTTACATGGCAGTGGCAAGAGAAAAGAGTGATGCAAAAGCAGAAACCCCTGATAAAGAGCTTGTGAGACGTATGTACTACCACAACAACAGTGTGGGGAAACTGCCCCCATGATTCAAATTATCTCCCACTGGGTCCCTCCCACAACACCTGGGAATTATGGGAGTAGAATTCAAGATGAGATTTGGGTGGGGACACAGAGCCCAAACCATGTCATTCTGGCCCTAGCCCCTCCAAATCTCATGTGCTCACATTTCAAAAGCAATCATGCCTTCCCACCAGTCCCCTAAAGTCTTAACTCATTCCAGCATTAACCCAAAAGTCCACAGTCCAAAGTTTCATCTGAGACATGGCAAGTCCCTTCTGCCTATGAACCTGTAAAGTCGAGCAAGCTAGTAACTTCCCGGATACAATGGGGATACAGGTATTAGGTAAATACAGCCATTCCAAATGGGAGAAATTGGCCAAAACAAAGGGGTTACAGGGCCCATGCAAGTCTGAATTCCAGCGGGGCAGTCAAATTCTATAGTTCCAAAATGATCTCCTTTGACTCCATGTCTCACATCCAGGTCATGTTTATGCAAGAGGTAGGTTCCCATAGTCTTTGGCAGCTCCACCCCTGTGGTTTTGCAGGGTACAGCACCCCTCATGGCTGCTTTCACATGCTGGCATTGAGTGTTTGTGGCTTTTCCAGGCGCACGGTGTAAGCTGTCAGTGGATCTATTCTGGGGTCTGGAGGACAGTGGCCTTTGTCTCAGTTCCACTGGGCAATGCCCCCGTAGGGACTCTGTGTGGAGGCTCGGACCCCACATTTCCCTTCTGAACTGCCCTAGCAGAGGTTCTCCGTGAGGGCCCCCTCCCCTGCAGCAAACTTTTGCCTGGGCATCCAGGCATTTCCATACCTCTTCTGAAATCTAGATGGAGGTTCCCAAACCTCAACTCTTAACTTCTGTGTGCCCACAGGCTCAACATCACATGGAAGCTGCTAAGGTTTGGCGCTTGCACCCTCTGAAACCATGGGCTGAGCTGTACTTGGGCCCCTTTTAGCAATGGCTGGAGCAGCTGGGATGCAGGGCACCAAGTCTGTAGGCTGCACACAGCATGGGGACCCTGGGCCCAGCCATTTATTCCTCCTAGGCTTCTGGGTCTGTGATAGGAGGGGCTGTCATGAAGAACTATGACATGCCTTGGGGACATTTTCCCCATTTCTTGAGGACTATCGTTCAGCTCCTAGTTACTTAAGTAAATTTCTGCAGCTAGCTTGAATTTCTCCTCAAAAAATGCGTTTCTTTTCTACTGCATCGTCAGGCTGAAAATTTTTTGAACTTTTATGCTGTTTCCTTTTTAAAACAATGCTTTTAATAGCACCCAAGTCACCTCTTGAATGCTTTGCTGCTTAAAAATTTCTTCCATCCGATACTGTAAATCATCTCTCTCAAGTTCAAAGTTCCACAAATCTCTAGGACAGAGGCAAAATGCCGCCAGTCTCTTTGCTAAAACATAACGAAAGTCAATTTTACTCTAGTTCCCAACAAGTTCCTCATCTCCATCTGAGACCACCTCAGCCTGGACCTTATTGTTCATATCACTATCAGCATTTTTGTCGAAGCCATTCAACAAGTCTCTAGGAAGTTCCAAATTGTCCTGTCTTCTGAGCCCTCCAAACTGTTCCAACCTCTGCCTGTTACCCAGTTCCAAAGTCACTTCCACATTTTTGGGTATCTTTTCAGTAGCACCCCATTCTACTGGTACTAATTTGCTGTATTAGTCAGTTTTCATGCTGCTGCTAAATACGTGCCCGAGACTGGGAAGAAAAAAGTTTAATTGGACTTACAGTTCCACATGGCTGGGGAGGCCTCAGAATCATGGTGGAAGCCGAAAGACTTCTTGCATGGTGGCAGCAAGATAAAATGAAGAATGCAAAAATAGAAACCCCTGATAAAACCATCCCATGTTGTGAGGCCTATTCACTATCACAGTGCAGTATGGGGAAAACAGCTCCCATAATTCAAATTTCCCACCAGGTCCCTCCCACAACCCCTGGGAATTATGGGAATACAATTCAAGATGAGATCTGGGTGGGGACACAGAGCCAAACGATATTGCCTTCTCTTCATTAGATCTCAGTTGAAAGTCACTTCCTCCAAAGAGCCTCTGCTAGTGTTCCTCAAGAACATGCTAGAGAGTCCTCCTGATTGGGATTGGAGACTCTATACCTCACCTTGCTAGAAAGGAGGGCCATTTGTATCTCTCAGTAGGCTAGGATCTTGGAAAGAGGTGGTAGGACTGCTCTGTTCATAATTCCTAACACGTAGGTAGGTATTGAGAAAACGTGTATTGGATGAAATAAAGAATGCACAAATGAAAATATGCACTTGCAACACATTTGAAGTATTACTTTCCTTAGGTCTTTATAGACAGTCACGAATATACACACACACACACACAGAGAGAGGCTAGTACCTAGATAAAGCAAGAGCACGATTAACTCTCTCTTCAAGGCCTGATGTACCCAGGGCCTTCCAGGTCATCCAGAACTTGAATGCATCTGGTCTTCTGCTACATTGGATAGACTTGTCTCCTGTGTCATAGCTCACATCATAGAATTTATCCTGCTGGAAGAGGTAAGATGCCTTGGCACAGTAGCATTTTTTAAGAAGATCCTTTGAAAAAGAAAGAAAGATTACAAGACTGTTCAATTTTAGAATACAACTTGATTTTGAAAGCAAACACACATGTACACACACAATGTGTATATTCTACCTATGCCAAATGTACATCTCACTTTGTGACTGCCTTGCATCGGACACAGTGTACATTGACTTTTGAGATACACGTTACCCACAGTGTTACCAAACAAAGCCTCAGAGTTGACAATGCTAAAATCCATCTTCACAATTTTACTGAGTATTGAGAAGCTGAAAAGACCATGTCATTATCGCTATGACATCAAGGCGGGCCAGTTTTTCAGTATGAATAAAACTGTCTATAACTCAAAGCTCTCCATTGGCAAACAAAAAAAAACTGACATATTTACACATGTTATACAATTTCATAAGCAAAATAGGTTTAAAGACCTTCTTTTTCATATTCATTTGAAAAGGCTAGACCCGACATAACTCAGGGATAAAAACCCAGTGAAAGAGCTATGGAAGAGGTAAACAAGAGCCAACAAGTTCTCACTACCACAAAATGTCAGCTATAATTCCACAGGGCCTTTCATATTTGTCTCATGCTGGTTTTATTTGCAACTAAATTCCATCTGCATTTACTAACTTGTTATCATTAGGAAGTGGGTGATAATTTACTGTTCATCACGATTATAGGGCCTTTGCCTCGACCTCAAACCATTAAAGTTGAAGCCATGTTGTCTTCAATGTCATCTAGTGTCTACAAAAGCCAGGATTTCCTAATCAATCATTTACAGCCCTGACAACTCCCCTAAAATATTTTAGATCCTTGTGCCTCCTCAGTGGAGCCAATGTACTCAATGTCCCTGAACCACTTCATCATGTGTCTTCTATGTCTTATACGATTTGCTTGCATCTAACTCTCTATTTTATTATGATACTTGACACTTTCAACAGAATATATGCAGTCTATTTATAAGCTGTGAAGTTTACTGACACTAAACATAGCCTTGCCTTCTTTCTCAGGCCTGCCCTTCCATCAGGTCCCATCTCAACTTTTCCCTCCCCTTCAGCTTCATCTGCCCATCTCATTGGACTCCAAGGAATAACTGGTATTTGGCTGCGTTTGTTGGCCTTCGTCCTGTGCTTTCCCCATGCAATGAGCAGTCACTACCTGTATTCTCTCCTTGTGTGGTCAAGCAGGTTCTTGGGAGCAGGAATCATTTCTTATCCATCGTTATATCCATGTAGCTTAACACTGCTGGGCACAGAGCACTCTCATTAAGCTATCAAGACAATGATTCCTCTCCCAATACCCCTGACGTGTGGTATGAATAGAATAAACACAGATAGATGAGCTTCTCATTTGGTGCATTTTCCAAACTTTAACAATTCAAAACTACTAGTGCTGTACAGGAAGCTACAAAAAAGCTGCTCAGTAGACATGGGGGTCCTAGAAAATGTTTCCTTCTGATCAGAGAATGTATTAAATGTGCTTCATTTGACTAATCAGCTTGTGCTAATTAGTTGAATGAAAAGGAAATCTCAATGTATCACATTTCAAATGAAAGCATAAGTTTGCTGACTTAAGCAACATTGTCTTGTGTATATACTAGTCTGGATCTAAATATGTTCCGTTATCAAAAAGTATGATTTTATACTACATAAAAATTATATACCAAATATAACCAAGAATTACAATATGTTCCTCATCCAGTATCCACAATAAACTGAATATAAAACAATAAGGCTGGGCACTGTGACTCACACCAGTAATCCCAATGCTTTGGAGGGCCGAGGTAGGAAAATCACTTGAGGCCAGCAGTTTGCTACAAGCCTGGGCAACACAGTGAGACCTCATCTCTATAAACATAAAATTAGTTGGGCATGGTGGCACGTGTCTGTGGTTGTGGCATGTGCCTGAAGTGGGAGGATCACTTGAGCCCATGAGGTCGAGGCTGCAGTGAGCTGTGAGCACATCACGGCTTACCAGCCTGTGCAACAGTGAGACCCTGTCTCTAGAATAATAATATAATAATAATAATAAACATTAGTATGCCTTCAGCCTGGTTCTGATGGGTATTCTTGAGAGATACAGGGAAAGAGCAGATTGCTCTGACCTGAACACTAAAGTAGAAAAATCCCTTAAAGTCTTAGATTTTATCATCAATAACACTACTCTGATCACAGTTGCCACTGCTGCATCTCCCTGCCCTCAAAAGTCGGGAAATTTGGTTATTGTTTCCATAGCAACTACAGTCTGACCATATATTATAACACTAAAAGGCCACTGCATGTATTTTAGGGACAAATCACGCACACATATTCACAACACAGGCACACACACACACTTGCATTACGATTATAAATTTACTGTCACCAACCATGAAAGATTAAAAATTCCCAAAGCAAATGAACTTTGGACATTTATTGAGCAAGTTTTAGGGGCCTATTGTAGTGATTGAAAGGGAGAGGAGGCTCATCCATTATCAGAAGACAAATTTGTGTAATCATAAGCAAGTGGAGAACAAGAGAGCCAAGAAAGCAAATAGCAGAAGAAACAATCGTCCTGCAGTAGTGACAGTTAATTTCATGGCACTAAAAATTCTGCCTTGGGAAGGTTTCCTAAAGAACTGGAGGCTTGGGATTTACTTTATCAAAAATAAACTTTCCTCCCGAATATTTCACTTTGCATTTTAGTTTATGTCCTTGTATTAAAGTGGATGAGATGTCCTTTAGTTTTAAGACATCAACTAAGAGAAGATGCTCAGATCTTCAGAGAAAACATTTTAGGAATAAGTATAGTAAAATTTAACATTGTTGAAAATAATTAGTTATTGTGCTATCAAAGAGAAGCACCATATTTATCTTGCTCATCTTCATATACTCTTAATCCTAGCAGGACAATAAATACTAGTAACATGGCTTTCAGAGACAAGTATCCAATGAAAATTCAAATTGCTTTATATTGTGACATTAATTCAAACTCTTAGGGGTTAGTAGACATTGTATTAGGACTTGTACAGTGGCAAGTAAAAGAAGCTTAAGCAAAACGGAGTCTTTTTATAGGCTTGTATATTTAAAAATCTAGTCCTATATATAATCTTCAAGCACAGTTGAATCCGGTACTAAATAATACCCATTATCAGGAATATGTCCTTTCATCTTGTTCTATTATAGCCTATATTGGCCTCACTCCCTACACGGAAAGCAGATAGGAAGGCTGAAAACTGAAGCTTCCAAGTGGGATCTGTGAGCATGGAGAAAGGGCTCTGTTTGGAGACAGGAAGTGATGAAGAGACAACTTCTGCTGGTGGTGCTACTAACCAACATTCTCTTTTTGACTAACATCTAGTTAGTCTAAGTCTTCTAGGTCTCCACCTTGACATTTATCTTTCTATAAATGCATCGCCCTCTTGTAGCAAGAATCTTGCTAGTCAGTTTGGAAAGAATCCCTCATCCCAATATCTCCCTTTATCTGACCAAGTTCTTCATCCTTCTAGCCTGCCTTCAGCAAGCATCTTGTCAGATGTCTAATCTGTGTCCTTTTATTCCTAATGTTTTCTCAGTCATTTTCCACCCACTGACTCCCAACCTGTCCCTTGGCTATGAATCCCTACTTGTCCATGCTGTATTCAGAAGTGAGTCAGGTTATACTGAGGTCTCTCTTCCTCATTGCAGTAGTTCCTGAACAAAGTCTGTTTTTACTACTTTACTGTCTGCTTCTAGTTTTCTTTAACATTACCCATGTAGAGAGAGACTCTTGACCTCCCAACCTCACTATCTTATATGAACCTCTTTGTGACCAAACCTAGCAGGAAGCCAATTGGCAAAACAGCCTGGAAAATATGGCTTTTAGGAGTCTGGCCCTTTTGCAGAGCAAAGCAGAGGAAAGTAAAGAATGGATTGGATTACACAGTAAAGAGAAGCCAATGACAAGCACAGAAACCACAACTTTTACTTTCCCTCTTTGCCTTCACAACACCTAACCTAGCACATAATAATGACCGGAGCTAACATTTATTGAACTCTTACTATTTTCCAGACACTTCATATGTAATAACTCATTTAAATCTCACAACAACCCAGTGAGATAAATTCTATTTTTGTCAACTCCATTGTACAATTTGCAACACAGCAAGTTAATTACCTAAGTTCATGTAGCTACTAGGTGATAGGGCTAGGTTTCAAACCAAAACTTAGATTCAGGGCCTGAACTCTAACCTATTATACTTTATTGCATCGACAGTGGGCGCTTAAATACATGTGAAAGAGGGTGCTCCATTTGGAGAGGTTGGTAAAAAGGAAAATGGTAGAAGAGAGAACACTGAGCTACTAGAGGTCAAAATAACTAAGATCCTGTTTCAAACTCTTTTATTTTTTCCTATAAACATGACTTCTGGTCTTACCACCAGTAATATTCTGTTTATAAAGCATTTTGAGATCTTTATGAATACTTGTGAATCTGGAGATATTATCCAAAATATTCACGCATTATGTGAATGAATGAATCTGTAGGTTGCATATTCTCTTGACCAAGATTAGCCAAGCCATCTTTGATTTCCATAGGCCAGATCAGATTCTGTGGTCTCTTTTTGGTCAGTGACCATGTGGGTCTACTAAGTCGGGATTCTGTGCACCAGCAGTTCCAGCCTTTTTTCGGCACCAGGGGACCAGTGCTCATGGGAGACAATTTTTCCACAGATGTGGGGTGTGATGTTGGGGAGATGGTTTCAGGAAGAAACTGTTCTACCTCAAATGGGGCATTAGAGTCTCATAAGGAGCACACGACCTAGATCCCTCTTATGCACAGTTCACAATAGAGTTTGCATTCCTATGAGAATCTAATGCCAAGGCTGATCTTACGGGAGGCAGAGCTCAGGTGGTAATGCTTGCTCACCTACCACTCACCTCCTGCTGTGTGGCCCGATTCCTAACAGGCCATCAACGGGTACAGGTCTGTGGCCTGGGTGGGGGGATCCTTGCTGTACACAACAAAAACCTTTGTATTTCCTCCTTGCAATCATGTTTTT